CATCTTCATGAGACACCGCAGCTTATAATATTTCAAATTATTTCAGGTTTTAACTATCTCGGAGTAATATTAGTTCAAAAGAAGCACTAAAAAAGGCACTAGGCACTGAGTAATTTTTTTTGGCGTTTTAATTTTCAAAAAGCACTAAATCTAGTGCTTAAAGCACCATGTTGGCAACAATGCTTATAAATTTGCTTTCAAATGTTGAATATCCATCAACACCACAGCACGCGATTTGTACGTATAAACATGTACTATGTGTGAAAGTGTGTGTTGTCACTGCTCTCAGAGCGGCACTCTGCATGCTTGGGGTGCATATGTACACTCATATATGAGGCATTCTCTGCAAAAAAAGCCACTCGAAAAAAAAAGTTCTTTATTTTTTTTGGCAATGATATATCTTATAGTACATGCAAAAACTAAAAAACAAAAAATATGGTGTCAGGTCTGTGTAATCCGGGGTTGCCAAACTGTCAGGGGTCAAAGTTTTTTGCAAACAAATTTTCGAACCGCCATAACTTTTAAACGAATGAACGGATTTTAAAACGCCATCAGACTTTTTTGTACAAACTTTATTTGACTTTAAAACTGTGTATCATAAAAAAATTTTAAATTAATATTTCATAGAAAAAAATTTTTGGGACAGCAATATTTGTATGAGTTACAAATAAAAAACCAACTCAGCGCAAGGCTCTCAATCCAAGCAATTTCTTTGTTTGCCTACAAATTGCAATAACTTGTCAGCAGAAGAGAAAGGGAAATAAAAAGTAAGACAAACAAACAGGATTCCTTAGAATTCAAACTGTTGCTATGATGAAAAATCATTGATTTATGGGCTTTTATTACCTCCATTTAGCGTAGCCCAGGATTAACGACGTGGACGTAGCAGACATTTAATCCCTTTTTTTTAATTTTTATAATTTTTAGGAGAATTGCTATTATTTAGCGGTTTTGCAGAGAATTATGCATTCGTTGCTCAAAATGCTGCTCAGTCATTCCACTGGAACAACAATCAAGTTTCCATTCATACATGTGCTGAAACTGCACATGGGAAAGGTCCTTGAGACGGTATTGGTGGAAATTTAAAAAGATTGGCAGCTCGAGTGAGCTTACATCTTCCACCTTCCCAACAAATTTTGACAGCAGAAGCTCTTTTCAATTGGGCGAAGAAAAATCTTGAACGGACCTCCGTGTATTTTTCTTCCAAAGAAGAACAAAATCTGCTCGAAAATTCCTTGGAAGTCACATTTTCTTCAGCAAAAAGAATCAGTGGTACCCAAAAGTATTACGCTTTTATACCTATCGGTAGAAAAATCTGTAGTTTTTCCATCAAAACGTGGACGTAAACGTAAAAGCGCATGAACATCAAGTTATGATTCAAGAACGTAATAATTTTAATTAAAAAACCAAAAAACCAAAAATAATTAAAAAATATATAAAAAAATACAAAAAAAGTTTAAAAATTATAAATAAAAAAAAATAAATAAAAAAGGATTAAATGTCTGCTACGTCCACGTCGTTAATCCTGGGTTACGCTAAATGCAGATAATAAAAGCCCATAAATCAATGATTTTTCATCATAGCGACAGTTAAGCTGAAATTAGTCAAGAACGTAAACCCGAGTCAGCTAACACGATCTGTCTTACCAAAGCGCCATGTAAATGAAAACTCAACACCGCAGAATTTTTCTGTAGTTGTAGCTCGTAGCGCAGAAATCTGCGGAATTTAGATTTTTCCGTGTCAGCTGATTTCTACTTCTTTAGATGGTTGCCACTTCGTCAGTTTTACAGATGGTAAAAAAGTTATAAGTTCCTATTCAAAATATGTTTCAAATATTTGAAATTTACTATTGAATAAGGTTTTTGTTGAAAACTACGTAGTTTATAGTTAGCTAAAATCTATTATAGCACGAAAAATTGTAGTTGAAAGGGCAAGTTTATGAAAAGGCATTGATGAGTGGCAACAGTGTAGTAAGTAACACTGAGGGCTCCAGTAATCGACAAAATTCTGCGTATACAGACTGCGACGAATTTCAGCTTTAGAATTCTAAGGAATCCTGTTTGCTTGTCTTACTTTTTACTTCCCTTTCTCTTCTGCTGATAAGTTATTGCAATTTGTAGGCAAACAAAGAAATTGTTTGGATTGAGAGCGTTGCGCTGAGTTGGTTTTTTATTTGTAACTCATAAAAATATTGCTGTCCCAAAATTTCCTTTGGGGGGTAAAAAGATGATGAAATAAGGAACATTTTGGGGTATTTTTGAAAAAAATCTAAGGGGGCATAAAAGGTAAAAATTAAAAAAAAAAATTTTCTATGAAATATTAATTTAAAATTTTTTTATGATTTTAGGTAAATTGATAAGTAAAAATGAATATTGCAATATGGGCGTCAAAAGAAAGAGGCTGAAGAAGGCTTACAGCCAAAAATATTTTTTTAGAGTTGCCACCTGTTTGAAAATTTACATTTAATTTAATTTATAAGATAAATTTAATATTGCAATATGGATATCAAACTGAAAGGGTTTAGGAAATTATATTGCCGAAAATATTTTTAGGGAGGGCTGCCACCTGTTTGAAAAATTTTATTGTATTAAATTGATTAAATAAATGAAATCTATATCTACATCTATACATATAATAAAATTGAAACAGGTCGATGTCTGTACCTTATAGATATTAAAGAAAAATTAATATGGTGGGTTTTTATTAAAGCTACAGAAGCCAAATAAACAATTTTTAGAATTTTTGAATCTCTGTCTGTATATTTGTACGCTCATCAGTCGAAAACATGGAATTGAATGCAGTTTTCACCGATGTATCGCTAGAGATCTAGCTTCCAATATAGAAGAAAAAATTAGAGAGTTGCCACGTGTGTTTAAAATTTCAGTTTAGGTCAATTGATACGGTAAAGTGAATACTGCAATATGGCTGTCAAAAGAAAGAAATTTACAAAGCCTTACAGCTGAAAATATTTTTGTGGAAGGTAATGAAAGGAAATAAACAAAATTATAAAAGTCTTAAGATGGGCAGAGTTACCCTCAACTTATGAATTAAAATGGATCACAATTTATACTAAGTTAAAAATAAAAGTATATTTTAAAAATTCGATGAAAAATTTATCATTTTGATCCATTTGGATAAAAACCGCAACACTTCTGATATCCCAAAGTTAAAAAATAACTAAAACCGAAATTTCTCTGCTTTTCGTATCGAAAGAGTTAAAAGAAGATAAGGCACTGGAAATGCAACATAAAGCTTTGCCATCGCTTGAATTCCGGCAACAAGTACCAGATTTAAAATATCCGCTGCTAAAAACAGCTGCGTGCCATGTATTTTAAATTTTTGGTACAACGTATAACTGCCCTGCAGGGAAAGCTACTAGTTTTGAACTAGAATTCTACCAGTTTGCGCTTCAGCCCAACTAGTTCACGTTCTATCCTTTTTCAATGTTAGCGACTGGTATTTTTAACATTGCGATGTCCTACGAGATGTCAATTGTCAGGCTATGCATCAGCATCTACTAGTAGAAATACTAGTAGCATCATACCAGTTGATGAGATAGTCTGCCAATTCATCCCCTATGAAAAGCATTAGTATGCCTTTTGCTCGCTCCAACAGTCGCAATGGCCGACAGAGCAAAGCATTCGCGTGTTATGCCTGAGGTACCAGGTTCAGGTGCAGGGGAAATTTAATTTTTAATTTTTATTTTTTTTATAATATTTTTTTATTTAAATTTTTTATTTTGGGTTTTTTTGTTATTCTTAGGTTTAATAAAAAAAAATATTTTTTTTAAATCTATTTTTTTATGGCATAAGTATTTCTTCCCATATATTTGTTTCTTTTTTTTTGTAATGCAACTAGATTTTTAAGTTTGTTATTTATACTTAAATTGAAATAATTTTTCCTACTTACATTGATCTAACTTTAAAAATCTTAACCACCTCCAAGCGGCCTCGAACCTGCGATCCCAGAACCAGGACCGGTAGTCTTCACGTGACGCCACAGCCGACCTTTGTAAGAAAAGCAATTAATTGCCTTTTATTTTAGGCTTTGGCAACTCAAAGGCAGATGTCGCTGAACGCTTAAGTTCTTAGAAAATGTCGAACTAGTTTATGAACCAGTATTTTTTCTAACTGGTTTGGGTTTTCACTGCAGGGTGTAACTCTACAATGAAATTCCTAAAGTGAAAATACCGTTCACAATTAGTTGCATTCGCGTACCTGTTAATTATCGAAAGCTATAAAAATTATCAGCTTTTTGTGCTCGGGTGCGCAAAAAACTTGCAAAGTAGGGGAAATTGAAGGAGCAAAATTACATAACATGTTGCGTTATTTACTGACAAAAAAAAAACTCGGGTCGAATGCGAAATTAAAAGTATGCGGTTTAATTTCATAGAAGTTCACTTTTATTGATTTAGAGGAAAAAAATGCGGGTGGTAGCAAGCGGTAGCAAACAGGCGATAATAGCTAATGAAATAACAAATTAAAAACGAGCAAAGAACTCAAGAGAGAAATACAAAAAAAGTATAAAATGTCAAAATCGTTAACACTTATGCACAGTCTGTTGATACTTAACCCTTACATTAATATGTGCGATTAAAATATAAGAGAAAGCATAAATGAACCCAACATTTCCGCCGCCCTTGAACTATCTTGATACGTTCAATTAAAAAAAATTAAACATCAAAGTATTATGCACAAGGAGGTTCTAAATGGCACTTATGCATATATATAATACTAATTTCCATCATGAAATAGATCGCCTTTCGTAGGAAGGAGACAGAGTTTCGCTATAGGACGAACCAACTCTCCATGCGGCGTTTGTAAAGTGACTACTCTTACGTGCCCATCATTACCAGGGTGGCATATCTTAACTCGCGCAAGCGACCACTTTGTCGGAGGAGTAGGCTCGCTGAAGACAGCGACTACATCACCTTCTTCAATGTTACGCGAGGAACGGAACCATTTAGTGCGACGTTGTAGACTCACGAGGTATTCGTCTTTTCATCGGCGCCAGAAATGTCGCCTCATGGCCGAAATTGCTTGCCAACGTTGTCGAAGATCTCCACAGAACCCTTGATCCTCAGGTTCTGGGATTGACTTCAGTGGCTCTCCAACAATAAAATGGCCGGGAGTTAGAGCTTCTATGTCGCCAGCGTCCGTAGGGTTATCACAGAGAGGGCGGGAGTTGACGCAGGCCTCCACTTCTGTCAACAGCGTGTTGAACTCTTCGTATGATAGCAGATTTTCACCCAGTACGCGTTTTTGGTGGTACTTAATGCGCTTGATACCGGCTTCCCAGTACCCGCCCATATGAGGTGCAGAAGGAGGTAGTTTGGTGTCAGCCATACACTGTTGAAACGCGACTCGAAGCTCCCTTTCGGCACCAACAAAATTCGTACCGTTATCCGATGTCATAATCTTACAGTAGCCTCTACGATTGACGAATCTCTTGAATGCGTTAAGGAATGCTGATGTGGACAGATCTCCAACAAACTCCAGATGCATTGCGCCGGTGCACATACAAACAAAGGAACAAATGTATCCTTCGGTGGCCTTCGCTCCTCTTCCGTGGGTAAACTTATACAAGTACGGCCCAGCAAAATCAACAGCGGTACGGGTGAAACAACGTGCGTAAGTAGTTCGAGTCGCAGGTAAATCCCCCATCATTTGCGTGGCGAGGTTGCGATTCATGCAGATGCATTTCACGCACTTGTGGTATACGGCGCGTATTAGACTTCGAGCACCAGCAACCCAAAATCGACGTTGCAACACAACTTGCATAATGCGGGGTCCAGCGTGCAGCGTAAACTTGTGGATATCCGAGACTATTAATTTTGCCAGCGGACAGTTCTTTGGCAAGATGATAGGATTCCTTACGTCAGGAGTAACCGTAGCATTTCTCAATCTGCCTCCAACGCGCAGGATATCTTTCTTGTCGAGATACGGCTGCAAACGCAAAAGACTACTGCGAAGTGGAATTGGCCTCTTTGCGCTGCAATTAGAAATTTCATTAGAAAAAGAAAACTGTTGCGTATACCTTATTAATCGGAATTCAGCTTCAGTTATCTCCTGGAAACTCGGAGGACCAAGATGCTTTCTAGCGTTGTGCATAGTGCTAACTCGAGCGTTGTAGAAAAAACGTAACACGTAAGCGATGATGCGCCGCAACTTGGAGTACGACGAATATTTCGTCATTATTGACCATTGATCCTTCAAACTTGTTACATGAGCGTGAACCTTGCTTCGAACGCCCAACTCAGTTGTATGATTCTTCGATGACGTCTGCTTCCAGAATAGGTCAGCGCCTACCAAAAACTCAGGGCCAGTCCACCACAGCTTATGATGGAGTAGTTCGGACGGACTGATACCCCTTGAAGCACAATCTGCAGGATTTTGTTCTGAGTGGACATGGTTCCAACAACCAGGAGGCAGAACCTCAGTCCCAGAGGATCAAATAGTGTGCTGACATCGGACAAAAACGCTCTTTTAGTCAAATTAACGGGCGGTCTCTTCAGGTTTACTGCAAATGTGAAATGGTCTTCGTCTGTGTTCCATACTAGGCCCAAGGCGTGAACATCTTTCCCATCGACGATGTAATGCGGTATAGATTCGGAAGAGTTCGAAATAGTTTTATTTAGCTTCGCGCAATTCGACGCCCACTTTCTTAGTTCAAAACCACCTTCCTTAAGTATCTGGGAAACGTTTTGTTGCAGCGACTGAAGTTCTTCTCTACACGATGTACCAGTGAGCAGATCGTCCATATAAAAGTCGTTTAGTATGACAGAAACGGCTTTCTGACAACTGTTCGACGAGTACCTTGCGGTCTGTTGAAGAGACTTTACAGCTAGGTGTGATGCCGCTGCTACTCCATAGGTCACGCGCAACATGTGGTAGTCTTGTATCGGTAGTAAGGGGTCACGACGCCAGACGATCCGTTGTAAATCGATATGTTTCGGGGAGACGTAGACTTGACGGTACATCTTTGTGACGTCAGCCGTAACACCGTACCGATGAGTACGAAAACGTGTCAAAATGGAATATAAATCCTGCTGCAGCTGGGGTCCGACAAATAACGCGTCGTTGAGCGAGTTTCCGGTAGCGCTTTTGGCAGATGCGTTAAATACGACCCTCAGTTTTGTCGTAACACTTGACTCTTTTACGACTGGATGATGCGGCATGTAATAGACTGGATTCGAAGTTTTGGACGCAGGCTCCATATGACGCATATCAATGAGCTCCTGCATAAACTCATTGTAACGTACACGCAAGTCGTTGTCGCGGGCGAGTCGTTCTTCGAGGCGTGGCAGGTTCTGAACGGCGAAAGTTCGCGAGTCCCCCAACGGTACATCGGATTTCAGGGGCAGCTCAACTATAAATCGACCATCAGAAGCTCTTCGATGCGTTGACTCGAAATGGTTTTCACAGATACTCTCATCGTGTGTTAGATGCGTTTTTTGTGGAGCTTCCTCCAGTTCCCATAACCTGGTTAGCGCCCTTTCCAGTGTCACCTCACAATGCAGCGATTGCACTCGGGGCGTAGCGGGATGAGAGCCATCGACACTCCCAAACAACGTCCAACCAAAGACTGTCCGCTGGGTCATTGGCGTGCCAGACGGACCTTTGCGAAGTTCCGAGAAACCGAGCTGGTCCATGACGTCCATGCCGACCAATATGTCGATACGACCAGGCTTCATAAATTGCGGATCTGCTAGGAACAATCCTTGTACGTGGGACCATGCTGAAACCGGTACAAACTGCGTGGGCAAGTCGTTCGTTATTTTCGGCAAAATTAGTGTGTTTACTGTGAAGCGTCGATTGGAGCAGAAAGAAGAAAGCGTTAGTACTGTCTCACCTCTGGATCGACCTCCTTGTGTTGACCCAATGCCCGTAATAAGCACGTTGGAAGATGTTCGCGGTATACCCAAGCGTTGCACGCACGCCTCAGTTACAAACGAGGCATGCGACCCGGAATCAAACAGTAAACGGGCGGGTTGCCAATGACCGGCGCAATCGCGGACCTTTACCCACGCGGTGGACAATAGTACTAACCTTTCTGTTGGTTGCGGCGGCTTGGAGCTGGAATTCAGGCATGGTGAAACACGTACAGCGGCGGGGTCCGTCGGAGGACTAACAGCGGATGAAACATTTTCGTTCGCGTTTGGTGTGGCATCGACGGCGACAGGATGCGGGGGCACATGAGACGTATCGTCAACAAAATGAGCAGTGGTTGTGGCATTGTTCACAAAACAAACACTATGCAACAGCGTGTGGTGGCGTTGGCTGCATACCCTACATGCAGATGCACTGTTACACTTAGCCTTAAAGTGACCCGGACTTAAGCAGTTCACACACACTCGTGATTCCTTTACGAACTTTGATTTTGCATTTACGTCTAAACTTCGAAATCTGTCGCAACTATAAATTTTATGGGGGCCGCTACAATAAGTACAGTCTGCATTATGCTCTTGCATCCCATGGAATACATTTGCTGTTTTACCTACTGTGGTCATTCTCCCTTTAGTTAGCACTGTGCTTGTGGTCGAGGAAAGCATCGATAGCGATCGGCACCGTATCTCTAAAAACATCGTAAGTTGCTCGAAAGTCGGCGGCTCATCACTTTCGAGTGATAGCTCCCACTGCTTCCTTGTTTCGAATGCCAATTTGCTAACTACCTCATGAACCAACCAGTCGTCCCAAAACTCGACAGGACGCCCTAGTGCTTTGAGCTCGCGAATGGACTGCTGGAATGCGTCAATTACACCTTTTATTGCATCAGCAGAATCACTTGTAGCCCTCTTTATTTCCGACATAGCTCTAATGTGTACTTCGACAATTACGCGCAACACCTTATAACGAACCTTAAGAAGGTCCCATGCCTCCTTGTAATTTGCATCACTAATTTGGAAGCCACTGATGATTCTCAATGCTTCACCCTTTAGACAACTTCGAAGATAGTGTAGCTTTTGCCCGTCCGATAAGGCCGGATTATTGTCGATCAGCGAGGAGAACACGTCGAAAAACCCGATCCACTCCGTGGAATCGCGAGAGAACGTAGGTAGTTCCATTTAGGTAGCCGTATGGCTGCAGAGATAGGTGTAGTCACAGTAGGGCGCGATTCGGTACGACATTTTTGAACTCGGTTAAAATTTGATAAAGCCGTTGAATACCAAGTCTCGGCTTGAATACGCACATTTTCTTCTAATTCGATGTTATCACCACCACACGAATTGTCTACAGCATCTTGGGCATTATCGAACCGAACCCATTGTTCATTTAATAGCTGCAAGTAACTCGCAACGTTTTCTACATCCATAGTGAATGCTTCATCAATACTTTTTGACATATACCGTTTGATGGCACTGAGGGCGGAATCGCGTGTTTTTATGGAATTCGACATTTTTTGAATTTGCCTTTTAAGGTTACTCGTAAGTCACAGCTTTTAAATAGAGTAGTTACAGCGGGCAAATGAAGGACACAAAGCGGCTCTTAGAACTTTGTCAGTTTAATCACTGCAATTGCCGCTTCGTATTTTATACCAATTACAAGCTCTACTTGGCTATATATTTTTTTTCACTTTCGCAATGTCTTTTTATAATATATGTAGATTTACAATATATGCGGGCGGGATGTACTATCCGGCTCGAAAGGATCAAAAAATGTTGCGTTATTTACTGACAAAAAAAAACTCGGGTCGAATGCGAAATTAAAAGTATGCGGTTTAATTTCATAGAAGTTCACTTTTATTGATTTAGAGGAAAAAAATGCGGGTGGTAGCAAGCGGTAGCAAACAGGCGATAATAGCTAATGAAATAACAAATTAAAAACGAGCAAAGAACTCAAGAGAGAAATACAAAAAAGTATAAAATGTCAAAATCGTTAACACTTATGCACAGTCTGTTGATACTTAACCCTTACATTAATATGTGCGATTAAAATATAAGAGAAAGCATAAGTGAACCCAATATAACATTTAAGGGAAATCTGCTAGTGTCTGCTGGAAAAATGCTAACAGCTAATCAAAAGCAGCTGGTTGGAATTTACGCTAATCCCTTAATTGAATTTGATGGTTTGGAAGTTAAAATAGTAAAATGCGACTAATTAAACTTATAAGAAGTAAATAAGTAATTATTCGTTTAGTCAGTGAACAGTGTCAGGATAGGACTTCGGGATTTGTTTTCTTACGTTTCAAAATTTCTATCAGCTGTTCATCTAACTTGCAAGATTCTTCACATTTACTTTTCGCTTACTATTTTCAATATTTTTCACTTGTGCGTGAAAAATGACATTTCGTCGGAATTTCGCTGTTGGATTTTTTTTACCGGAGATTTTAAACGAACGTACCTATTGACTATCCAACATTTAACCCCCTTATTCTAGAAGCCGTATTTTCGTAATTCGTAATTCGTAGCTACGCTACGAAAAACGAAAAATCCATATGATGCAACACTTGCGGAAACATGTGCAGCATTGCCAGCTATCAGTTGTTTTTCGAAGATAGCTGAATGAAGGAAAACAAAGTGGAAAGGAATTAAAAAAACACTCATCATGTGCTTGTTTATTGTAAAATTGGTTAATTTTACATATTTTGAGGAAAATTATGGATTCTGATGTATTTGCAATTATAGCAGCAGAGTAAGCGGGCACTATGACAATGAATTCACAAAGGTATGCGGAGCTCTCGGGCATAGTAACCATGGGCGCATCCACATATGTCAGCTTCTGGTTGAATTGTTGAGCCACAAGCTATATCTCATCCTATGCCTGAAGAACTGGTTCTCAAACCAGTTAATGCAATAACAGCTTCTTCCAAGCCATTGAAAACATGCACTTTGTTAGGTCCACCACCTGTTGCACTTGCTTCTGGCTTCGGCCGCGCTTATGGATTATAACCCTTACTAAGTAGAATTCTCCTTTCTTTGTTGCCGGAGAAGAGGGGCTTCCGCATGTCAAAGGTATACAACACTTCTTGTGTATATCACTCCGGCTACGCCATCCACAGTATCTTTGCGCAGAATCCACGTCGAAATTTGAAAAAAAGTGCATAGTGCAAACCGAATTTATTAATAAGCTAGTGGTCGGAAATTCGGAACATTTATTTTAAATAAAATTTTAATCCTTTTGTTACACGTGATGTTAAAGTTTTTGGATTCGAGTTATGCGTTTGGACACAACAACCGAAAATCATTGTTCAAATAACTAAACCGGACCCAAGTTTCTCGACGAGGGGCAACAAAGATTATTTTTTGCTCGTTTGTATAAAGCAGTGAATAAAAATATACGTATATGCTAGAGGCAAATTTATCTGTTTAAATGAACACCACTAATATTTCCTGCAAACACACATCGATTTACATCTTTTATCTCGCCTCCGACACAGAATTGTTTTCGTACAAAATTACGCAAAACAGCTTACTCGTTCGTTTTTAGGTATGCCATTGTTACGAATTTCAAAAGTTCGAATATACGATTCGGATTGCAGCATACTATTTCTACGATTCGTAGCAAATTCCGAATATGAAAGAGTAGCAGAAGAGGGGGGTAACAGAACTGTTACGAACGGCTTTAACTGACTTAAGACCATATTTTGAAAATTTGGCCAAAGGGATCTTTTGAATTTTCTTTAATATCTATCTTACGTACAATAAAATAATAATAAAATTAATGTTTTTCATTTCTAATAATAATTTTATTTAAAAATAAAATTTTTGTTTTTCGTTTTCTTTTTTTGTGGCTCTTTGTAGCATTTAGAACTTACATGTGGCTCTTTTTGGCCTAGGCCTTGCCCACCTCTGCTCTATAGTTTTATATCAGGTTGGTTCTCCGATACAAATTTTCGATGCACACATAGAAAACACAAACTCAAAGACAAAGTAATAAGCAATTGAATTATAAATTAATTTTTTGTTTACTGTTCAATTCATTTCCGCTCATTGTCGACTGCAGCCAGGTTTTTAGCCAAACTATTAAGCTAGCATTTCCTGGTACTATTCTTGAATATATAGGAACAAATTTGGAAGTTAGGGGTGCTCGGGCCCCCCTGACCCTACCTGGCTACACCCAATAACACACATTTAAGTTTCTGAGCGTACTGAAATTTGCGAACAGCGAACTTGGTCAAAGCGCTTTATGTGTCGGTCGGTATAAACCAGGTATGTTATTAGAATTTTTCGGTGTCGGTCGGTATAAACCAGGTATGTTATTAGAATTTTTTTTTCAACTAAGAATGCATGTATGGACATGTACATATGTATATGTATAAGTATCCCTACAAGAATTGTGTAATGGAAACTAACACATTCTCATTTATCTTACAAACACATTTGCAAATTTTGCGTTGGTTAAAAAGAGACCAATATATAAGGCCATAAGCTGGAGGAAGATGGAAGATCACATGTACACAAATGTTTACATCAGATTTTTCACACTGCCCTTTAGAATTTGATAGAAACTTGTAGGTAGCCAGTGACAGAAATCTCTATCAGTCTTGCCACTCAAATGATTTGTCAAATGATAGTCACTGTTCTTGCAGGGATACTAATATGCGCATACAAACATAAGTATATATCTATAAACCCCGTGCCAAATAATATCCGAATACATAAGGAAAGCCCACTTTGTATTTTGCCTCGGAGTTTTTTTTGTAAGACTATCGGTTTTCGAGGAAATTCCACGCAATGAACAGTAACTTACAGTATGAATTAGAAATGTTCGCAATATATTATCGACCCAAACATAAACCCAATGCGAACATTTTCATAGTTACGCTATGATTCGCAAACTAAAAGCATTTCGAAAAGAATGTAACATACATATATTCGATATTAGGGAATGAATAATGACCTAAATATGTTTACCCATCGTGTTCTTTATTGCTCGCACAAATTTAGACTAATTCCTCCCAAGTTTAATCTAAAAGGAAATCGTTCGGCAACATAGGTTTTTTACAAATTAAAACGGTCAAAAATGCATAGCCCTAATGCACATCCATATGCATGGAATTTCCTCGAAAACGTGACTTAATTATAAGCTTTTATTTAGCTTGGTCATCCCGCGCAAATCGCGGAAATTTCCAATCGATTTTAAACTGACTTCCCGACAAGTTAGAGACTTGAAATTTTCAGCATAGTTCCAATCACGATGACAATGCCATTTAATGTATAAATGAATTCCCCATATGGTCTAGGGGTCTTGATTCAAAGGCGGTCAAAAAATAGTAAGATTTATGGCTAACAGAGCGTAATTTGCCAAAAAACGTAAAACCACTATAAAATGGTTAAGCCTGCCGGCGATAGTGTAGCAAAGCTATTTGTGGCAAATCCTAAATATCAACTTAGTCTAGATATGAACCTCGTTCTAGGAATTAGAAGACTCCAGATGTCGCCCCGCCAGAAGCAGTTAAATATTGCGCCTAAATATATGCCATGCTACAGCGGAAATGGACGTTTCTTCAAATAAAATTAACTGCTGATATATGGACTAGAGCTCGGGCAATTCGGTTAATCGATTAACCGAATTATTCGAATCTGACTGAAGTCGACTACTGTTAATCGGTTAGCAATATTCGAGTAGTCGAAAGCTGTCGACTATTCGGATAACCGTTCACTTTAGATTATTCGGCTAACCGTTCATTTTCGGTTAATCGAATATTTTAAGTTCGAGTTTTTTTTTGCATTTACAGATACATATACATATATGAAAAGTCTTGTTACATTCGTAGTACATATATAAGATTGCATGTGCAAAATTAAGGCAAACTTTTTTTTGCAAGAATTTGCGCTAATTATTGAAATGCTATTGCGAAATATTTTAGAGACAATGGCTAAAGCAATACCTACCTCTCATTTTCGCGAGCTTTTGTTATGGATTTTTGTTAAATGTTTGTTCAGTGAGGATGTGGATGATTGTAGCACAAAACTGCACCACATATGGAACATGTTACTTCCTTTTCGTCCTCTGATTTTTCGAAAAAATCCCAAACCCAGCTCCTTTTGCGTTCGCTCATTTTTGTATCTGAATATACATACATATGTGTGCATGTATATATTTAAAAAAAAATTTTTTCATT